CACTCAGGGCTTGTAAATCTTTTACGAGAGATTTCCAAGCCGTTAGTGCTTTGCCATCTAACTCGTCATCCCAGTTCACGCTGGTGGTACACAGTGTCCGAAACAACATTTTCATGGTAACTGTAAATGGAGAGAAAAGACCAATGGGGTCGAATACTTTGGCGGAAAGCTTTAACACTGATCGTTTAGTTGTGGGAAGGGATTTCGCATATTCAACTAATTCGCCGAGGTCAGTAGTATAGGAAGTAGCGGTTCTAGACCACTTTTTCAGCCCGCGATCTCATCCCACTTCCGGTCAGCGGTTTCCATATTTTCCCCCAAAAACGCGGGCTCAAGTTTCTAGACCATATATTTATTGTGGTATTTTAACGTGTATTTATTATATTATTTTTCAGTATTATTTTAAGTCTTATTTAATAGTTTCTTTAGTATCCAACATTTTAAGCTTAACCATTTTAAAGGGGTCGTAACCTTCCGGCTCTAACACAACATTTGAAGTAGCCTTTTTATCCTGAGTATTTACTCCAACGTTAATATTGTTTGATACAGAGAAATTTATATCACCAGCCTTTCCATTCTTACCAGAACTCTTGCGGCAGCCACAAATCTTACCTAAGCAGGAGAAACATGACCTCCACCTTGACATCTTATCTTATGATAAACCACATGGTAAATACCTGACCCCGAATATCGGAGTGACCAGCAAAAGGACATATCCATACTCGATCCAGTGGGCATTGAGTGTTCAGGTTTAACTATAATACACCAAGCTAGCGTGTTATCTACCAACTCAACCTGGGCTCCTAAATAGAACATACTATTACCCTTGAAAACGTAGCAGGCTGTACTTCCACCTGTAGTTGTGTAAGTCCCATTAAACCAGGTGTATGACAGTCTTCTTAAGTCGACCGCGGCAAGATTGATTTCCTTTTTAACTTTTGTAAATTTTCCATTAGATTGTTTTTCCCAAACAGTAGCCCATAGGATCAGGGCTAGTGGTATATTTTGAATAGTTGAAAAACGTGGGTAGTCTGATTTAATAGTGATTGACTCAAGGTTGAGGTCTGTCATATTATTAATAGGATCTGTTCTCCATGAAGGTGGAATCTGATCGTGACAGTAAGCATAGTACCTTGCTGCAGCAACTGATACACCACGATAACCCCAAACCCATTCTGCATGTATATGTCGCCGTGTTCTTACATATCTTAAGTCAGCCGTTGCTTGAGTAAGACCAGTTGAAGGTTTTAGGAAATTCTTTTCTACCCACTGTTTGTTAACAGCATCCTTATCATTTACAGGATCCTTTAGATCAAGAATTCCACTTGAATCTCCCATATCCAAATCACCTTTTACCAGTCCACCTCTACTACTCATGAACTCATCTGTTGCCCATTTCTTATTAACAGCAGAACCGTCAGTAGTAGGATTTCCAACTCTAGTCAACTCGTAATCGTTAACATCTAAGTTACTAGCTAAAGTGCCACCATTACGCTTGAGAAACTGTGAGCACCATGAAGTCATAGAACCGTAAGAAACAGCACTAGAAGATCCAGTTGACCCACTATTTAACCCCGTAATAGTATTACCAGCCATGTCAATATTACCGCTCATACTAAAGCCACTACTACTTACAGAACTCCCACTAACATGATCCGTGACCCATTTCTTAGACACAGCAGAATTATCAGTTGTGGGGGCACCTAACTTTATAATTTCATTGTTTCCCATATCAAGGTCAGCAGATAGTGTAAGTCCACTGTAAGTCTCACGCCTCCTTCTACCACCGCTAATCTTATCTTCCACCCACTTTTTATTAACTGCAGATCCATCAGCACTAGGAGCTCCAACATTCACTATTTCATTTCCACCCATCTGCAGGTTACCAGTCATTCCAAGGGAGCCATCTGTTTTTACAAAGCTTCCTAGAAGTAAATTTAGATAGGATAGATTTACAAGGTGGTTAGAGGTCGTTGGACCCTGCGAACATGTAGGTGTATTTCTAAAACTAACGGTACCAGCAACATTTAGGGATCCTGTTCCATCTAACCGTAAGAATGTTCCTTCATTTAAGTTGAACCAACTTTTTGTAACAACAGACTGGGGGGTAGTTGGATCAGCAACATTTTCAATTTTATTTCCACCCATATCAATGTTACCTGTCATTGTAAAACCAGAAGTCTTATCAAACGTTGACAGCTTACTCTCAACCCAACCTTTAGATACAGCTTCACTATTTATTTTAGGCTCAATAAGATCAAACAATCTCCAACCTCCCATGGACACATCTGCTTGCATAATTCCACCTCTCATTCTAAAGTTATTATCAACAGTCCACTTCTTTGTAACAGCAGACTGGTCCTCAGAGGGATCCTTAAGATTCTTAATCTCATAGCCCTTCATATCAATGTCACTAGCAATATTAAGTCCAGTTATAGGCTTATTTAGCATTTTAACTACCCAGTCCTTATTAGTCACTGACTTTCCAGTAGTAGGATTACCAACGTTCCTAATTTCATTTCCACCCATTTGAAGGTGTCCAGTCATTGCATGTGTACCGTCAATCCAGACGTAGAGACCGGCTACATAAGAGTCCAGGTTTCTTATTTGTGTCAGGGTCCAGTCCTTACTAACAGCAGACTTTCCAGTTGTAGGATCACCTAAAGCCTTTATTTCATTGGTTGACA